CAATTTAGAGTGATATTTTGAGAATTCAGTTTTTAGTTTGAATTTTAAAACATTTGAATTATCTTTGGAAATTTAAGAGTATCTTTATTTTGAATTATTTTTTAATTTTAGGATTTAGAAGCCTATAAATACCCTCCTTCGGGTAAGGCTTAGATCTATCTTTTGTGTTGAATTTTATTATGTTACTTTGTTTTCAATTTTATAAAATTTTCTTTTTGTTTTCATTTTTGTTTTTACTTTAAGTTTTTTTTCACAAAACATGCTAAGTATGTTTCTACCATGCTTAGCTAATTTCTTTATTAGCCGAGAGCTAGTGATGACTCAATTCCATATGTGAGAATTGAAAAGTACTAAAATACTTAGGGGAATACATTTTAGATTTTCTGTTTTATTGGTTTGGCAGTCGGCCTTACCTACAAAATTAAAACACTTTCAAATCAAAAATTCGACGTTGGTCTAGATGTTGTTTTAATTTATATCTAGGAGGAAGGATCGGCCTGTGACAAATTTGACTTCTTGTGAACACACTTAGCGGTGGTCCGTTAAGGGAAATTGAGATCATATTTGATTCTCAACGAGACAACATAATCCGAGTTGGGCCTTTCCAGTACTTAATTTTGTTTGTCCTAACGACGATAGTTGTGGTTAGCTCATTCAAGAATCGACTTTAGGAGAGTGACTTGGGAAGATCGGTTACTAGAGAGAAAGGCAAGCTATAATGGGTTGTGCCTTGTAGACTGTAACCGACATGAATCTAGGAGCAAAAATCCGTTTTGATGATCAAACGGAATTGAAATAAAGCTAGCTTGAGGCGATTTTATCATTATTGTTTTAAATCTCTATTTACGCTTTCTTTTATTTTACTTCAATTTTAATCTTTATTTTCTTTACCTTTCTTCATTTCTTAATTGTGAAACCCCTTTTTTTCTAATTTATTTTTCTTGCAGTTGCCTGGACTGAAATCGACATTAAATCGCATCAGGAATTTCTAAGTCCATATGGATCGACCCTCTTTCACTATACTATATTTATTTTTATTTCTTTTATTTGAGAAGAGGTTTTAATTTATTTTGGCGAGTAAAACGACACTTGTCAAGAGAAAACCGAGGAACAAAGAAAATACTTTCAAATAAACTTTCTTAAATCTAGCATCCCTAGAGGTTGCTCATTGAAAATCAATGACTTTTTTTATATCTTTATTTTATTATTGTTGTTTCGGCCGATCACAACCTTGATTGTTGCTTAAGAATATCTTCGGACGAGAGAAAACCAATGAACAGTGAATAAATACTTTTAAATAATCTTCACAAGATCTAGCCTTCCTTAATGTTTCTCAATGAAAACCGATGACAACTTCTAAAATGGAGTGGAAAGAGTTTTCTAATGGTGAAAACTAGATTAATTTTATTTTATATTATATTCAACTAATTTTTTATTTCTTTAACTTATGGCATATTTCCTTAGCTTGTTTTATCTTTTTTATTTTTTTTTATTTTTTTTTAATATGTTAATTTATTTTTTATTATTAAACAAGTTTTAATGTTATCCCATATATTTTAATTTGTTTATATATTCTTTTTATTTTTTTATTTTGGTATGATAACTTATTTTTATATATATTTTTTAACTTATGTCTTTTCCTTTCAGTAATATATTAACAGATTTTTTAATTAAAGTTAGTCATTTCTTTCTTTAATTTTAACTGTTTGTGTTTATAGCATTTTATGTTTGTATTTATTTTTTCTATCGTTTAATTTTTGTATCGTACATTTATTTATTTGTCATTAATTTTTGTGCTAGTTTATTTCATTATTATTATGGTGCTTCACTTTTTACTCGATTTTGCAGATTAAACTCAATTTTATTTTATTTTACAGTGGTAAAATTTTAAAGTTAAGTAATTAGGATCATCTTTTATGCACGTCAAAAATTTAATTTTTTTATTAAGATAACTCATAATCATGTTGGTACCGAAAGGGAGATGTAGGGGTGCTCATCATTTCTCACAAGTAATCGACTCTCGAATCCTTCCACATGAATCTCTAGTAAGATGTAGATCCAATAAAAAGGTAAAATGTATGTATCCGATCTTACCTAACCCAAAAGATTGATGACGACCCAAAAAAATAAAATCATTCACTTAAAGTCGGAATGCGATCCTAGGCCACTTGAAGGACTGTTGTAACACTTGTCATTGGAGAGAATTTTTTCGACGTTTTAGAGAATACCGGATGTCCACTCCCACTCATATGTGTATACTTCCTCTATAGCCCAAAGTAATAGCCCCTGCATCATAAGCCACAAATTCCCCCATGAAATCCCCTAATTGCTTAGCCACCGGTTCCGAGATGAAACCCAACGATAAATCATTCACCAAACCCCCAAAAAGTAATCATTTGCAAAACTACTAACGTAGAATCAACCACTTCTTTCAGTCGATGCATGACAAGGAAGTGCAAATTAAAATACCAGGGTCTTTCAATTTTAATACGATTAGCGTCCAATTCATTATAGATTCAAAAAGGAAGTGTCCCTCTCCTAACTCCATTATAAATATGCCTCATACTGGATGCCGGACATTAGCGAGTGTCAGACACATAGTTTAAAGTTTTTTTGGATAATTCATTTTATTCCATTCATCCAAGAAAAGCAACACTGCTACACCTATACACCAAGGGGCATATTAAATCTCCCATTTTATAAACAACTTATCATTCACCCTATCATTCATGTCTATACAACAAGCTTGTAATCTAACGCTAATCAGCCCTTTAATACAATCACCAATTCTATCCACTGTACGAACCTCTCCCCTAAACAACATACGATTACACTCCTCCCAAATGTAATATAAAAAACCTGTCCAAGCAAGCCTAAGGATAAACACAATGAGAGACTTACCCTTGTAGCTATCCACCGCCCATCAAAGCATTGCCTCCTTATCGAGCTGGCCCCTTCTGCAAGCCGCACCGACGCAGGACATTGCCCCACACTCTACAAGAATAGGAGCATTCCACAAAAATATGGTTCCTAGTCTCAGCATCAAGGAAACATAAACTGCACCTTCCATCCGTTTCCATTCCTATACGATCCAACCTGTCCTTAGTAGGCAGCTTATCCAAACAAGCCATCCAAGCAATAATCGAGCACTTGGGAACATACTAAAGGAACCAGATAATCTTATGCTAGTATACCTTAGGTCTTCTTTCCCTAAATTATCCAAAACCCACCTACTAGTCGCCTTCGACCAATCTATACCAGTCCTAAAATAGTCAGCAACCTCACCCCTACAACGCAAAAGCTTCCTCAAAGTCTAACTAAAATAGGGACTATAGGCAACATTCCAAAAATCCTCTCCCTTGAAACCATACTCCACCCCAAGTAACCTAAAAATATCCCTCCCCATCCAAGATGCTTTTAATAAGTAGGAAACCATAAGTTTTATTCAAACGCAGCAAATCCTTAACACCCAACCCCCTTCAGCCTTTAAAGAACACACTTTCTACCAGTTAACCCACTCCCTTAGCATGGAAATCACTCCCCTTCCAAAAGAACCACATACACATTTGCTCAATCTTCCTAATGACCACCTTAGAAAAAATCACTTGGCGACACCAGTAATTAGAAATACTAAAAAGAACCACCTTAATAAGTTGGAGTCGACCAGCATAGTAAACTTCCTAACCGGTAATCACGCTTAGTAAACTTTCTAGTGACTTGTTGAAATCCAAACACATTATGCATTTCAACAAGTCTGTTTTCCTCAACCTCGCAACCAAAGAACTCTATTTTGCTAGCATTAAGCTTCAAGCCAAACATCTCGTAAAACTGCTCTAACACACTCAAAACTCCTGCAACCGAACTAAAAGAGCCATGACATAATAAAAAAAAGATCATCCGCAAAGCATAAATGAGTAATAGGAATTCTTTTACACTTTGGATGATACTGAAAATCCCACTTTGAGTAGCAACTTTCAACAATCTAGAAAGAATATTCATCACCAAGACAAAGAGATAAGGGGACAACAGGTCCCCTGCCTCACCCCTCTAGCCCCTTTAAAGAACCCCCACAAGAGTGCTATTAAACGATACCGAAAACCTAGAAGAGGTGACACACTCCCTTATCCAATCTCTAAACACCATTGGAATCCCAATAACGTCAAGCACACTCAACAAAAACTGCCAATCACCAGAGCAATTCTTATTAAACTACCTCAAAATAGGCTTCAACCTACGCATCTTGGCAAATAACCGATGCATAGCATCCCCACTCACCTCCTTTTGCTACGAATCACGAATTACAACAGCAAACCCAACATTAACCGTCCAAAAATTAAAAAATTTGAAGGGCTTAGCCTTAGCAGCAGGGGCCTCCTTATGCATCCAAACAAGGCATAGCTTGAAAATTGACAACACTAGACGTTAAGAAACTCCCCACAAAACAATTAACAAAAGATATGAAAGAACGTTGCCCACTTTGATCAATCCATAAATCCTCTGTCTCCTCCTTTCCTAAGTTCAATCCTTCCATATCAATTTCAATATCCCCCATCGCAGAACACCCATTGAAAGTAGCCTTAACAAAAGAAACACTCAACCAAAACAAAAACTGAATTGTCCTCAAAATAAGAACCAACAAAACGACGAGAAAATACCTAAGACAATCCAGGAGACGTACTTTTATTAAACAGTTCAAACTTTATTTACTCGTATAATCTAAGATGAGTACAAGATAATATTCGTTTAGAATATTACCGAAGATTGATACCAATTGGTTTGTTAGGTATTACTTGATTAATCTCAAGTTTGATATATACAAAATTAAGACACTGCCCTAAAAGCTATCGAGTAAAGATTATTTTATTTTTATAATTTTCTATATTTCAAAATAATTTATAATTATATATATTCTAACTGGTGAAGGTTTAACATACATCAAAAAATATTACTCTAATAATATTTTATAACTGGTGAAGGTCATATTCATTCGGATTCCACTATCTTCTCTGCTTAAATACCAAAGAAATCAATGGCGTAGCGAAAACTCAGTGAAAAAAGGTAAACAAATATGTCTGCCGAGCATTTGCTGTTAACAGTCGATGATGTTGATGATCAAGATCATCATCATCATGGTGGTGGCGGTGTGATGAAATTCGAGATTCGCGATTTGAAGAAAGTATCGGATGCGGGCGTTCCTATACTCAACGGGATCAGCGTGGGCATCCCGAAAGGGATGATCGTTGGGATCATCGGACCGAGCGGGAGCGGGAAATCCACGTTGCTCAGAGCACTGAATCGCCTGTGGGAGCCTCCATCGGATACGGTGTTCCTAGACGGCCTTGATATCGTTGACCTTGATGTTCTTGAACTCCGCCGTAGGGTCGGCATGCTTTTCCAGCTCCCGGTTCTCTTTCAAGGTACGAATTCCATTCCCAATTTTGTTCCTAATTGTATTTCTGCTTTTTTCCATGTTATCGCTTATATTTATATGTGAAATTCCAGTTAAAAAGATCGGTTTTGAATATTTCTTTCAAATGTTTTCTCACCTTAACTGATCTGATCCGCCGTAAATGGATTTTTCCGGGAGTTTTGATGAAATTTTTATGCTAATTAACTATATTTAAATCAGAATTGCTCATTGAACTGTTTATCATGTTGAATTTCGTTGGTTTAATATCCAGATGTTGCTTAATTCTTGCTTATTTTTAAGTAAAAATTTAATTAAAAATTTATCGAATGACCGAATGGGCCCTGAATATTTAAAAGTAATTTTTATTAGAATACTGCATTATAGATTATTATTATGTGAGAGATTCTTGTACTATTTTAAAATTTAATCTTTATACTTTCTTTTTATAAAATTTGATTCTCGTATTACTTTTTATTTAAAAATATTGCACCCCTAATTTCTATTAAATTTTACTGTCAGCTAATGGCCTAGTACTTAAAAAAAAGGTAAAAATAGCTTTCTAAGTCTTATATGTTTATAGTTTTTATTAATTTGACTCTAACTTTTAAAAATTAAATTTAGAAAATAGCATCATTTATTGAACAATACACTTTCAGGTTTCCACATTTACATTTTTTAAGGGTCAAATTGATGATAACTACAAATACAGAGGAGTAAAAAAGTATTGTCTTTTTTATAGTTGTTAGGTTAACAGTTAACGCAAAACAAAAATTGAACATAAGTTGAACAAAGAACCAATTTTCAAAAAAAAAAACAATACAAAAAATATAGAGATTAAATTTTAAATTAGTCCATGAGTCTTTGACATATTTAAGTCATTAATATCATATATATATATATATATATATATATATATATATATATATAATGTTGAGTAAACAATCTCTAGAACTACTGGTTGAAAACTTTTAATTAACACTTTTTTTAAGTAATGGGTTCTAGGAGTAAATTCTTTTTTCCCCTCTCACATTTAAAAAATATGGTAAATTTTGTCTCTTCTTTTTGTCCAAGTACTTCAAATATTCTATCAATGTCATATGTCAACTTTTTTAAGAACTTAAATAAAAAATATTATATACTTTAAGTACTTATTTTGATTAAAAAATATTTTAAACATCAAATGAAAAAGATGATAATTTTACGTACTCATTTTGATAAAAAAAATATTTTAAGTATTTAAATAAAAAAATTAATGTACTTCAAGTACTTATTTGTGATATAAATTCTTTATTAAAAAGATGAATTTTTTATTATTATTATTATTATTATTATCATTATCATTATTATTATTATTATTATTATTATTATTATTATTATTATTATTGGAGTTGAAACAGACAGGTTTTGAGCTTTCGGTTTGGGGCATTGTCATTAGCTTTTAACATCTTATCTTTAGAATCATATATGCTTACATATCAACCCTTCTTTATCATCTTTCCCCCTTTTTTTTTTTAGGGGGGGGGTAAATTACATGGATGGTAAAAACAGGTATTGATATTTTAGAACAGTTATAAAATGATCATCTACAGTTTTGATTTAAGCATTTTGGTCCATTTGCATTTAATGGAAAGATGATACGATAGTTTTAATACTGACAGAATGATAAATTTAGTCACTAACATTTATACATTATCAATTCAGTTTTGATTTTAAAAATTTAATCAAGATTCTAAAAAACTTAGGAACTATAGAAATGTATAAAATTTTCTCATTAGTTGATGAAAATATAAATTAAGGTTTAGTTTTCTTTTCCTTTTATGATCATAAATTTAAGGCTTTAATATACAAAAAATAAGCGCCTAAATTATACTTATACACAAAATCAAAGTTTATGTATCACATTACACAATATCAAAGTTCATGCGTACTATTGATACTTATCCCTTTGTAATTTTCAAATGTGAATCGCTTAAGCTTACTTGAAGTAATTTACAATCTGGATCACTAAACTTAAATTCAAATTTCATTTGGAGCACAAACCTTTAAATTAATCAAATTATACAATTCAACTTTTATTATTATTCAATTAAATCACTTATAGTAACACTAATAAATAATTCCAACAAAAAATTAAAGCAGTTACTTTTATTTAACATATTTTATCATCAAATAATGTTTAATTGACAATTTAGTTGATTTTTATTAGAATTTGTAAAAATTTGATTATTTTTTCTTTCAATTTATTTGAATGGGATGTTTGAGAAAATTTTAACAAAAAAGATATTTTTTGTATGTCGATGTAATGCAAAGTAAAGATGTGTGGATCTTTTCTCAGGCACTGTTGCAGATAACATTCGATATGGACCAAACTTGAGAGGGAAGAAGTTAAGTGATGTTGAAGTTTCCAAGTTGCTAACACTTGCAGACCTTGATTCCTCCTTTCTCAGTAAAACTGGTGGTGAATTATCTGTTGGTCAAGCTCAAAGAGTTGCACTTGCTCGGACACTGGCTAATGAACCCGAGGTAACCATGTTTTCTGCAATTTTGGTCAAGGTTTGCTGAGGTGGCCATTTCCCCAGCCCCCAGCTGATGTGTTGCATTCAAACTTTGCTGCATTTGCCATGTTTTTTGTTCAGTTTACATGATTATTCTGACCAATTACCTCAAAATAACTTGGTTTCTTTGCTGTGATATCGATTGCTCCGAATTACGGTTTTGAAGGTTTTGCTGCTGGATGAACCAACAAGTGCCTTGGATCCGATCTCAACACAGAACATAGAGGATGTGATAGTGAAGCTCAAGAAGAAAAGGGGAATGACAGTTGTAATGGTTTCTCACAGCATCAAGCAAATCCAAAGGGTTGCAGATATGGTTTGCCTTCTTGTGAATGGTGAAATTGTTGAAGTACTGAAGCCTAATGAACTATCTGAAGCCAAGCATCCCATGGCACAAAGGTTTCTTCAGCTAAGTTCTTAAAATACTTACTATAATTGTTGCTATATTTCCCTCTCTTTCCCTATGTTTGGTATTGATGATAATTTGGTTTAAACTAAGTTAAGCATTCCAATTTGTTATTTAATTTTTATGTGCTTACCAACTAAACACAAATTTGGACCTGAATTACTGATTATAATCAAAACATAACCAAAATCAAGCTCATCTCATGGCAAAACCAACTTCAATATGATCCTTCAATGGCTGCAAAATAACTAATACAATAATTCGAGTATGTGTACCATAGACAAATTTTGATCGATTAGCCCGCGCAATTAGCTCGGGGTTCGCAACCCAGTGCAAAGCATGAAGACTGAGCCAAAACCAGCACTGTTTTATGTACGATTGTTGGAAAGTTAAAGAGAGGAGAAACGAACGGCAAACACGATCTGCTCAGTCTCATTAGAAAAGCATAGGAAATCAAGCTGTCCCTATCTCATAAGATTATTATATGGTAATTTAACCATGTTCTTTTAAGCATGTAAATGCATCAATCCTAAGCCAAATCCTCACATTACCGATTTGTTCTTCTGTCAAACAAGTCAGCTTTACACATGTTCAAAGCTCCAATTCATCAGACGACCAAATTTTACTTCCGTGCACGCCTCAGAGCGTCCATGCCGGGCACTAATACGGTGTTTTCCTAGAAGAAGAACCCTCAGCCAGCAGTTAAGCAACTTAAGGTATATGTGCTTCAACGAGGAGATAACCCATTACCATTGCTTTTATACTTTTTTTTGTTTTTTTTTGTTGTTTTTCATTTTGTTACACGACATCTAAGTAGGGCTTGAGATGCCATCAAGAGAAAGATGGACAAGCCCTTCAGCAGATTTTCGAATTAGGGAGAAGCCCACTCGAAGTAGTGGCAGCGAGCACCTCTGGTGACAGTCCAGTTCCCGCAGCCGAAGAAGACGCTTCCTTGCTTTGGTCCGGGCTTCCGAACCATTCCTTTGCTGCTCTTCACCCCGCAGAAACAGTAAGGGTTGTACTGGAATAGGGGCATTTGTTGATCCTTAGGCTTGTGGGGGTGATGCGGAGAGAAACCCATGTTCTCAGGGATCGGGTTCCATGTCACCGGACCACCGCTAGCCTGCCACACCAGAGAGTTCGTGATAGCAAACCTAAAACCCTGGCGCATCAAGAGGACAAGTAAGCGAGCTGTGTTTTTAGCATCGTCAAGACCACAATGTGCACGCCCCTGCCACACCAGACCTGCCATCTCGACCGCCTCCTTCAGATTGCACCGTGCACCACCAAAAACCTCACGGAATGGAACTTTTAAGTTAATCCAACTGCCAAAAGGAAACCAAGATAAATAAATAAATATGTCGATGGCTACATCATCATCACAATTTTTTTGTGACCCAAAATAAGCACATATCAAATCCATTTACCGGTTAAAGTAAGGAGGCTTCCGGATCTTCTTAATCTGGCACTCAGATTCCAGCATTATCCGACAATCCCAGTTTGACCATGTCACCACAGCAAAGTTGGTGTTCTTTATGCCCTTCTTCTCAAGCCATTTATCATGCCTAAGGAGAGCCTCACTGAGTGTAACGCCTCTATCTACCTAGAACATGTAAATGCAGATTTAGAATTTAGGCTAATTAGTTTCCCGGTCTTGGTAAAGTCATAGGAATTCAGAACTGACCTGAATTTGCTGGATGCCAGTCAGATCCTTGCAGAAATCACTCAGGAGTTGGTTGCAAGTTGGTCGGACATATGTCTGAAAACATGCTTCCAGCTGGCCAGTAACACTGCTCACAATGACGGAAGGAAACTCGATTATCTCCTGTGGATGGGGTTTTCTCTCCTTGTCGCAGGTAGCCTCAAAGTCTATGACCACGAAGTACTGAAAATCTTGGAACTGGAATTCATACGGGTATCCTTGAGCGACCATATTATATGGCGGGTAGTGAAATCGATTATCCATGGGAAATTGGTATAACTGCCTCCCAAAAGCATTTGGTGGGTATGACTGCAGCTTATGAGAGTCGGGATAGAAGGTCGGCCAAGAGCCAGGTTCATGTTGAAAGGTAGGTTTGTGGTAAAATTCAGTTGGAAGCTCCATAAACTGACCATTCAAAGAGCAAACTGGTTCTACAACATCCCCACCCGGGTGACTACAGATTTCATCTTTAAGCTCGGGAAGACCTTCAATGGAATTCCCAGTACATTGCAGGTTGAACGGGATCCCCTTCGTCTGGAGGCATTTTAAGGTTGCCTCACAGTTTTGTATTGTTTCTACATAAAATAAATAAGCATAAACAATCAGTATATTATCAAATTTAATTTATCGTCACCAATATGACCCATAGTATTTATGATTTCAGAAGTTCAAGATATGTTGATTGTGATGAACAACTCCAGTATTATGATTTCAGACATCATTTTCAGACATGAGCATCCAATGACCCTCGAAATGAATGGAAAAAATAAAATTTTGAAAACACCTAAACCGACAATATAATTGTATTTGACACACCCAAGTCCAAGCAACATGGCTTCCAAAAAATATAATTTGCTCACAAATTTGACAGCACATAAAGCACAAGAAAGGAAACTCTACGATGAGGTTACTTTCGAAAATGGTAACAGCAAGCAATAACCAACACCAGCAGGAGGGAAATCCAGTGAGAGATAAACCCGTAGCAATAAGGCTTGTACGCAGCACAAAAAAAAGACAAAAGAAGGATGAAAGGACTTGTAGTGCATGTTAAAAGCCTTTATCTCACCAACAGATTTCACACAAGAATAACATATATTAGATCAGATGAAATGCATATCATGCATTACTGCCTCTGGCAATGGCCCATCACCTTTCACAAGAAAATGATGAGCTAAATACGGTTCAAGAAATGAAAAACTGTAGAGGTTACTAGGAATATATTCATCCATTAAACTTTTAATTTGAAGGTGAAAGGCACAGCTTAGAAGGTGCCACTATTTCTGAACATCATCACAAAATCAGATGGAAGATTGGAAGCATAATATGGGCAATGAATTTTCCTGGGTATGAAGCCTCGGACAACAGGTATGGTGCAAGGATTGTATTTCTCTAAATTCTCATTTAGCTCAAACCTACATTTGACCTTTTGCTGGGTGTTAACACAAAGCTAAAAACCAGACCACTATGCAATTCAGAAAATCAGTAAAACTGATACCATGAGTTAACCTAAGCACATTGAAAATACTCAAATGTTAGACCATCAACAATTCTATCATCTCTCTCGCCGAGAAATAAAAGAGAGGAAAAAATAGACTATCACTTCATTCACAAAGCCTAGCCAATCTCATTTAGCCATGGTGGTTGAGGATCTAACTACATGCAGATTAGCCAAATGAAGAAATAAACACCCTTCTACTTGTTTAGAAGAATGAGTGTCAAACTTCGCCTGAAATAAAGTCAACGTAAGACTCATTTTATCAATATCTTTATGTAACATAAACCTTGCAGCTAACATGCAGGAACTTTCTAGACATGAATGTTACCCACTGGTTGATTTAAGCCCAAATTTACACCTAATGGCTAGTGAAACTGAGCTGAGACGGTAACAATAAAACCTAAACCCATCACTACACACCATCTCGGTTGTATTTTAGGGATCCAAACCCTAAATGGACCACGTGGTGACAAAGAAAGAATAACTTCACCATGAGGGATGTGTATGGCATTGGCAATGAGGCTATTCAATAGAATAGAGTACCACAAAATATCCTAACAGGCCAAAAAAGGTTACAAATTATCTAGAAATAGTACCATACACCATGTAAATCTTCTCCACACAGTACCGCTTGCTTATGACTAAAGAAGGTAGATTCGGTCGAATAACAGAAAGCTTAGAACAAAATACATAAAATAATAATTACATACTTATCCTCCACTCAACAGATTCAATTGACACATCCAATTTAGGGTAACATAAACCAAGTTAATACAATATATTCGCGAGTAGGCCAATATATAATTCTTCGTATATCCAATATTTGGTCCAACCTTCCAAGTCACTGGAAAAAAAAGAGTAAAGTATAAACTTTCAGTTGGCATTCGTAATGTTCAATGCTAGGCCAGAGTTTTAAAAACCTTCAGGACACCATATCTCACACCATTCCAACAGGAACCCTAGGGGAACTCCTAAATTTGATTCAAATAATTCAAATAAAAAAATACTCAAAACTAAAGCAACCCAGATGAAGATAAAGCCAAGGGATCTAACACTAAACAAATAAAACAGCAAAAGGAACTGGATTTTTAAGAACAAAACCAAAAACCCATCAAGACAATGCCAAATAAATTCGCATAAAAACCCCAGGAATCAAAGAAAAAAATTCAATCAAATATACTAAAACTCATAACTCAAAGCAGATCAAGGTTCAAAACTTTAAACACAAAAATACCTAGGGAAAACTGGGGGGAAATCAAACCTTTATTTTCAAGGGCCATCATGATCTTGTGTATAATTAAGATCAACCGGCAAGTACATCAGATCCTTGTCTGTTTTCACTCACCTGTAACAACAAATAGTAAAAAGATAAATAATCCAGAAAATAAAAAAATTCAAACAAAAAACGAAACTGAGAAAATAAAAGAGGAAGAAAGTTGCATAGAAGAGAATAGGGCCATCATGATCTTGTGTATAATTAAGATCAACCGGCAAGTACATCAGATCCTTGTCTGTTTTCACTCACCTGTAACAACAATAGTAAAAAGATAAATAATCCAGAAAATAAAAAAATTCAAACAAAAAACGAAACTGAGAAAATAAAAGAGGAAGAAAGTTGCATAGAAGAGAATGACCTGATGATGCCCACAGAGAATGACAAAGGGAAGTAATGTATAATATTGAGAAGAGAAGTCGTTTTCTCTCTTTTTTTTTTTAATATTTGTGCTTTTATTTATTTGATATATGTTATTTGGAATAATTATGTTCACACCCCTACAAACTTACCTTTTTTCATTAAAGCCTCTGTATCTTTCCGCTTTCTTTTTCACGAAGATAAATATAATAAGGAATAAGTGAAGACAGTTTAGTTCTTTTTAGTATCTTTTTTTAATATATTAATTGTAATCATTTATTAATCATAAATTTTAAATATATATATATAGTATATTTTAAAAAATAAAAGTGGATGAGATTTTATTTTTAATTGGTTAGAGCTTTTATATTTTTTTATTATTCACACGTTATAATATTTAATGTTAATCATATTAATATAACACAATCAAATTTTTAAATATTAATATATACACATAATTAAAATGTTTTCTACCATATTTATTAAATATGTTGTATTTTCGTATTTTTAAAAAGTACTACTTTAATCTATAGTATTTTTTTATTATTTTTAGTGACTTTTATAATCAATTTAAAGTTATCTTATTTATTTTGCATCTATTCATTAAAAATATATAATTCTTATGTATTCTTATAATTATTGTGTAAATTTTGATTGAGAAAATCAAATACTTTTTTGATAAGTTATTGAGACGTGATAAATCTATTTTTCTTCTACAACACCTCTAAGGGATGCTTTTTTTTAATTTTAATTATCCATATAATTTTTTTATTTTTACTAAAAAATAATTTAAATAATCATATAAAACCATTAATAACGATTTATAATACTTTGACTTTATAAAATAAAATTAAAATTAAAATATACTGATAAACTTAAATAAAATTATTGTGGCGAGATCACAAAAGATTTCATCAATAATATCTTAGATTATAATGTTTTGTAAAATATTATAGATTTTATTAATAATTATTTTTTGAATTATAAGATTTAAACTTTTAACATTTAATTATTATATTAAGGACTATATCATTAAACTTTAATAAATAAAAAGGATATTGGTTTTTATTGAAAACTAATTCAACCTTCAATAGGGTTTAAAACTAAAATTTTGGGATTTAGGGTCTTAATGTTTAGGGTTTTAGGTTAAAATAGGTCAGGTTATGGAGTATAAATTATATACATAATGTGTACCAAATAATTTCTCTTGATTTCCATTGAGTTTTTTTCAGCATATTTCATGTCTCTTTTATTAATTTTTTTTATTAATCTGGGATGAGCTCAATGCAGTATCTGTTCAAAAATAATTCTCAATCTTTTGATATTGAATGCTCACACCCTTGACATTCATGGTGCTTGAACTCGGATTCTCAAAGAATAATAATAATTTCTTTGCAAATGAGACCACTTGATTCATGCTCTATTTTATTAATTTATATTTGAGATTTATTATTTTCTTTTTAAATATATCTTCTTAAAAATATAATTAATTTTAAAATGAGACGTCTAATTTAATATTTAATAAATTAATATTTTCATGTGTATTTTGCATATTATGTTGTAAGTAACCGATCAATAATTTCTTTTATACCGAAAAATTTTAAGGATAATTACTACTATCAAAATCTTAAAAGTGATTTAGAAAAATCACAAGGCATTATTTGGAAGGAAAAAATACTCGACGTTGAGGATGAAATTATAATTTATTCATTTTAGAGGGACCAAAAATATAAAATGAAAAGTCTTTGCGCCTCTGTGATTCACACAAAAGAAAGAAGGATCGAGGTAGCGTGGGTCCCAGGCAAACAAAACGTGATTTTTGTTAACGATTTCTGCTTTTTTACTAGAAAAGCATTTACATGCGGTTTAGAATTAAAAAGGACACGTGGTGAACTTTGGTTTGTTAGTGGAGACATCGGTGTAGTGGACAGTGTGGACACTACGGGGTTATTTTAGATATTTTATGTTTTGTTTCTAGCAATTATCTAGATACCATCTGGGCACTTTACCATTCTTGTCCCTGGGTTCGATCCAATGAGATTAGCTTGACTCGATTCAAATTTAAATAAAAAATTTAATTTATTAATTAGTTTAAAATTACTTATTTAAATTTGATTTAATGATCATATAAATTTTTAAATTTTTTAAGTTAATCAATTCAATTGTATTTTTTTTATATCTAATTAAATTGTCAAAGCTTTCCAACAAGTTAATAAAAATATGCATACACATAAATATTGAAAGAAAGATAAAAAAAAATGCAATATTTGAAACAATTTTATAAAGTAAACCAATCCAAATTGTTTGATGCAACAACTTGCTGGACAACATTTTCTTTACACATAGTTACTCTAATTTCACCCACATAGAAGCACTCGTATTTTTCTACGTATCTTGTAAATTTTGTTTGATAAGTGCAAACAAATATGAGATATGACATTTTAATCATTGTTTTTTAATATGTAGACACTCATTTTCGTCCAGATTAATTTTGTTTATATATATATAGTAATATAGTTTGTGAAAATATTTTTTACAAAATATAATATATAATTTTCAGAAAACGATTTTCGAAAATTTATATATTATATAGTTTTGAAAATATGTTTAAAATATATAATATAATTTGAAAACATTTATATATTGTAAGTTTTTAAAACATTTTGAAAACTTATATGTATATTTTTAAAACATTTTTGAAAAATTATATAATATATAGTTTTAAAAATATTTTTTGAAAAATTATATAATATATAGTTTAAAAAAACATTTTCGGTAAAATTATATAATATATACTTTTAGAAACATTTTTTTTGAAAACTTATATAATATTTTAAAATAATTTTTGAAAACTATATAATACATAGTTTTGGAAATTTTTTATATAAATGTTTTTGAAATATATATTATATATTTTAGGAATTATTATTATTATTATTATTATATATTATTATTATTATTATCATTATTTATTTTTATTTTTATTTTTTTCCGTTTCAGGTCCAATAGCAGTCCAAAGGGTCTTGGGGCCTGAACCAGACCAACATTAAGGTTAGGTTTAGGGTTTAGGGTTTACCATATCAAAAAAGGTAAGAAATCTGAACAGATTTCCTCAGATCTACGTTGGTGGGAGCATTTTTTGGGTGTTTTAACTTTGAATCAGGGCTTAGGGTGATAAGGTGCGTGTTTTGGGGGGTTTAGGGCAGTGGCCGACAGTAGCCGGAAGCGGTGGCGATCGGTGGTTGAGGTTCGACCGAGAGGGCTGGTTGAGAGCATATCTCTCGTTTAGGGGAGATGGGTTTCTGAGAAAGGGTGAGAATGAAGGGAAGAGAAGGCTATTTGGGTATTTATATACCGATGAATAATATGAAAATAGAGGATTCTTAAATCCTTTCTGCAATCCCTGGTATTTTGAATCGATTTGCAATTTGGTCACCATGTGTAAATTTACCTCCAGATTCTAATTTAATCAATTTAGTCCCTGTTTATATTTTTTATGTTTTGTGAATTGGCCTTCTAACTTTTTATTTTTACTTTTGTAGTTCAATTTACTACCAATTTAAACCATTAATTTCAATTTGTCTCTATTTGATCCTCTAAGTAGTTACTTTTTTAATATTTTTTTTGTTTTCTTTGATATTATATATATATATATATATATATATATTCTATTTTTATTTATTTTATTCTCTTCCTTTGAATTTTTCTTTCTTTCATTTTTCTCTTTTTCTTATTTATTTTGATTTATTTTTTTTATTTTTCATTTTTTTTATAAATATATTTTTCCTCTTGATTTATCATTTATTTATTTTATTTATTATTTATTTATGTAGCTTTTTTCTAACATTTTCGATCTATTTTTTTAGAGAAACCCCAGTCAATCAAATGTAAACAATTTGAATCGAATGTTTTAAGTTTCAATTTAAATTTTAATTTTCGCAATTAAAGACAACCGACAAGTTAATTGGTACCGAAATGGCAGTTCAAGGGAGCTAATCCTTCCTTGACCATAATCGACTCCCGAACTCGACACGTTTCTGGTACAACACAGATTAGGTAAGATGGTGTCCGATCCACCTAAATGTTTTTAAAGTGATCGGTGGAGACTCTCACTCCAATTCACTTAATCCAAGTCGACGCCCAATTCCGGGCCCAACCGAAAGACGGTTCCGACAGCTTGGCGACTCTGCTGGGGACAAAGTAAGTGAGTCAGGCCATAATTAAATTTTGGTTGTCTTTTTGAGCAAAAATTGTAAATTTTAATTTATTTATTCGATTCCAATTATTTATCTTTGATTTTTTTTTCAAATAAATAGTTGTACTAATGGTTTTTCAATGATTTCAGATTTTTGGAAAAAATTTCATCTCATGCTCTATACCCGAGCTTCGTACCCTATTTAAGTGGGGGTGAAAGCGACGCCTTCGTGTGAATTTATTCACCGTGCGGGCATAAGGGAATGTTTCTTCTCTAGTTTAACTTAATCCACATAAGCTTGTAATAGGCTTAAGACTAAGGGTCTGGCAAGCCCAAGGGGGCACCGGCAAGGAGAACTCGAGTACCTTTTTTAGAACCTAAACCGGGAGAGTATAGGGAATTAGTGCCCACCCCAAAACCTCATTCCAAACCCTAGGCTGCTTTGATTTTATTTCCTGCTTTACTTTCTGTTAAAAGCATGCGAACTAGAAAAATATGCGGTTTAGGATTTGTTTGAAATTAGCATGCGGGATAGAGATCATGTCCGGGTAGGAATTAAAGCATGTGGGGTAAATATCATGTGGGGTAGGACTTTTATTTTTCATGA